CCGGTGACGGTCCAAGGGTCCTGGGGACGCGACGTTAAAGCCCCGGTAAAAAAAGCCCTTAAAAGTATTGAGGTCTGTGAAGAAAAATGACTAAATTTTGATATTAAATTGAATAAATTTGACTTCGGTACAACAGTTTTGGGTAAACGAACCCGGACCCATGATTTGACGGTCCCGGAGGGTCCGTAGGAAAGTATGGGACTTGGGCGTATGTCCGGAATCGAATTCCGAGGTCCCAAGCCCGAGAAATGAATTTTTGTGTGAAATTATTTTTCTGGAATTAATTAAGAAAATTGGAAATGAAATTTGATTAGGAGACTATGGTATCGGGCCCGTATTTTGGTTCCGGCACCCGGTACAAGTCTTATATATGATTTAAGCACTTTCTGTAAAGTTTGGTTTAAAACGGACGTCGTTTGACGCGTTCCAGACTTGAAATGGATAATTTGATGTTTTATGAAATTTGGAAGAAATCATGAGTTTTGAGGCCTAATTTGACGTTCATGATGTTATTTTGGCGATTTGATCGCACGGATAAGTCCGTAAGATGGTTTTGAGGTGGTGTGTATGTTTGGTTTGGAGCCCCGAGGGCTCGGGTGAGTTTTGAGTAGGTTCCGGGATGCCTTAGACTTAAAATATCAGTTGTTGCAGGTTCAGGAAATATTGCAGGCCTCTGAACCCTCTAGCGCGGTCCGCGAGAAAATCGCATGCGGCCGCAGTCGCCTTTGCGCGGTCCGCGGTGGGTGCTGTGCGGCCGCGGTCGGCTTTGCGCGGTCCGCGCAGGGCTAAGATCCGCAGGTCTTCAGGTAGGCCAGGCCAGCGCGGCCGCGGTCCCCTTTTGCGCGGTCCGCGCTGGGACTTCAGAGGGGTATATATAGACGGGAATTTCAGTTATTTTTCACTTTTTAGAAAAACCCAAAACATAAGAGACGATTTTCCAAATAATTCTTCTTCTTCAAAACGATTGGTAAGTGATTTCTAACTCATTTTCTTCACTCCTTAACATCTTTTAACATAATTTCAACTTCAAAACAAAGATTTTAATGGGGAAATTTGGGAATTTTGGGTAGAACCTAGGTTTTTCTAAAATTGGGGATTTGGACCTCAATTTGAGGTCCGATTTCAAAATAATTTATATGTTTGAGTTCGTGGGGGAATGGGTAAACGGGTTTTGGTTCGAACCTCGGGTTTTGACCATGTGGGCCCGGGGGCATTTTTGACCTTTTGGGGAAAATGATGAAAAAGCTATAATTAGGTATTGGGTTCGTGCTGTTTAGCATTTATTGATGTATTGAAGTCATTATTGTATAGATACAATTGATTTGGAGCCGAATTCGAGAGGGAAGGCGGTTATTGAGGATTGAATTGGCCGTGGAAGTTTGAGGTAAGTGTTTGGTCTAACCTTAGCTTGAGGGAATAGGAGTTGAGTCTTATTTGCTACTTGCTAATTGTCAAGTACGATGTATAGGCATGGTGACGAGTATCTATACATTGGAGTCTAGCATGACCGTGAGTCCTATATTGTGATTTCCATGACTTCGTTGTATTATTCATGCCTTGGTGATTATTTCTATTTGTTGTGCAAAGATGTGGAAAGAATCGTGACTTATGGATATTGAGGAGCGTTGGCTCCAGTTGTATAGCGAATTGCGAAAGTATAAGTGATAATTGAACCTCTAGAGCATTGGCTCGAGTGTTGAAGTGAATTGTGAAGTAAAAGTGAGGAGAGAAAAGATCATTATGCTGTCCCTTGGTGGGCTATTGTCGAATTGTGGTTCCCTTGTATTGTGTTCTTAATTGATATTACGGATGCTTAGTTTAATGATTCCTTGTGTTGAGTAAGGACTAAAGTTATAGTTGAGGTAGTTAGGTGTTGTAACGAGTTTGGTTATAGTTGAGGTAGTTAGGTGTTGTAACATGTTTGGTTATAATTGAGGCAGTTAGGTGTTGTAACATGTTTGGTTATAGTTGAGGTAGTTAGGTTTTGTAACAAGTTTGGTTATAGCTGTTTCTCCCTTGCCGGGACGTAATTACCTATGCTGTCGAATTCATTGCCGGGATAGTGTAGACCTTATTGATCCCTTGTCGGGACTCTTGTTATGGTTGTTGTTAATACTATATGTGTGTCGGGTTGCACGCCGCAACAATATTATATGTGGATCGGGTTGCACGCCGCAACAATATTATATGTGGATCGGGTTGCACGCCGCAACAATGATATTTGTGGATCGGGTTGCACGCCGCAACAGTGTTGTTATATATTGGGATCGGGTTGCGCGCCGCAACAATTATTGATACAAGTGTGTTTATTTTGGGATATTAGTTTCTTTTGTTCGTTGTAAATTCTAAGCTGCCCTTAGACCGTTACTCTGGATTTACTGTTAATACTGGCTTACCCCTGCAGCATGTTTCCCCCTCCCATCTTTATTTGATTATTCCTGCTTCACTTTCCGCTATATATTATATAACTGCACAGGTTTAATTGATAGTCCGGTCCTAGCCTCGTCACTACTTCGCCGAGGTTAGGCTGGGCACTTACCAGCACATGGGGTCGGTTGTGCTGATACTACACTCTGTTCTCTTTTGCACAGATCCAGGTATTGGACAACATCAGTAGTTGGAGGGCTTCCTTCAGTCCACCCGGAGACCCAAGGTAGACCTGCAAGCGTTCGCGGGCCCTGGCGTCTCCCTCTATTTTCATTCTCTGTTTCTTTATCTTTTGTTCAGAAACAGTTTACTGTATTTTTCTTCAGACCTTGTATGTAGTAATCTTAGATAGTCTGTGACACTGTGACACCAGTTCTTGGGTAGAGGCATATGTCGTATTTCCGCATTTCTATTCAGTTTCTTTAATTTAAGACTTCCGCTTAATTATTAAATTCCATCGTTTGCATGCGATTGCTGATATTTGTTAAAAGAGAAAATGTGTTAATGAAAAAGGTAATTAAGGTTTGGCTTGCCTAGCTCCCACTAGTAGGCGCCATCACGACTCCCGAGGGTGGGAATTCCGGGTCGTGACAAATTGGTATCAGAGCTCTAGGTTACATGGGTCTCACAGTTCACAGACAAGCAAAAAATCTGTAAACATTGATGCCTCGAGTTTTTTTTCCATAGACGGAGAGGGAAAAATGTAAGAGAGAGAATTGGGTTTAGGTTTTGGTGAAAAGACAAAAGCTGTCCCTCTAATTTTTGTATTGTTGATTTGTTATTAGGGGTACTTAAGGAAAGTAAATATGGGTACAATGTTAATATACTACCTCCATGTAGTATGTTAGCAATATATATATATATATATATATATATATATATTCTTTCATAGTGTGCTCAACTTGAACAGTTGTTTACTTTAACAACTACTAAAAGAACACCAATCTATCTCTCTGTATATATATAAAAGAAGGTTTAGAAAATATGATGTGGCATATCTGTTTAGCCAAGAAACACACTTATTGTTTTTCTCTTCTTTTTTTTTTTTGAATTTTTTTCTTTTTCTTTAGTCTTTTCATTCAATCCGACTTATTAAAAGGCTACAATATCTATTAAAGAAATATTAATGCTGACCATTTGCTTTCCCCTGTTTTTTTATTGCGTTTTCGGTTACACCATAGTTATTGTGGTTTTAATGGGTTCTATCCTTTGTATGTTCTTCCTTTTTAAAGTTTTGTTTCATTTCATATTTTCAGATCTTCCTCCATGCTAATGTGGAGTTGTTCGATATTGAAAGGTAAGCAATGAGTTCATTTTCTAACTTTTGTTATTTAACTTTCTGTAAGGTTTTTCTTATAAATTTTGTTGAATCTTCAAATCTTTGTCTGTGATATATATCCTAATATTTGGGGTTGTGTTAACAGGAATGCATACTAAATTTAGAGGGATGAAACTATTCACATATATTTATTCCTACAGATTGTCAATCAAAAGTTGTGATCTTCCTCTGCCATGGAGTGCAATATCTTAATGAAAGGTCATCATCTCAACATATCAAAACTTTTTTTATTTCCATTTCGCGTTGTAATCACTATATGTACCTTGATTACTACAACCAATATTGGGTATATAGAATCTAATCGATATACTTTTGCTTGTGTATTATAATAGTTCTTGAATATTTTGTGTCTTGTATTGGAACAATTATCAACTTCTTTTGGTAACTAGTTACTTTGCAAATTGTACTTTTTTCTTTGCGTATAATTATGTGGGTATTTTAAATTGGATAAGAATTATATATGTCTCTTTTTGTATATTATGGTGTTTTCGTCGGTTTTGTCTTATTTTTCAGGTATATGAAATTTAGTCAAATTTATTTTTTGCTTTTATGGTGTTTACATTTGGATTTTTGTGTTTATGTTACCACAGTTGAATCAAATGAGAAAATCAAAAGGAAAAAGGCCGGAAAAAAACTCAAGTTCAGCCTGGTAAAGGCAAGACTAAGGGAAAAAGATGATAGTTTGACTCCTAAGTGTTATCATTTCAACTATTACAAAGCTACTGAGATATAGTTATGAATGAAAAAAGCCCTAAGTCACATTGCCATTAGAGGAGGCTACTAGATTGAAATGTCAAAATATTGGAGCATTTCTTGGCTCATCTATATGTTGAGTTAGAAGATAATAAACTGTAAATTTGTTTTGTCTTATGGGTTTTCTCTTCGCTCGATGTATATCAATTCTTGCTCTTTTTCTAAGGTAGTCACATTTATACTGTATTCTTCAGATGGATTTTTTGATGAAATATAGTGCCATCATTTTCCTCATTTTTTCATTCATGAGCTATTGCTGTATTGGGGAAATTTTATTCATATTTATAAAGGTGACGTGTCCCAGACACATGAATTGGTCAAAAGGTCAAAGAATCATGATTAGTCACGAGATAGGGGTTACAACAAATACGAGCAAAAAGAGATGAAGAGGCACGGGACATCAGTTAAGAAGTAATTCAACGCTCGTACCTATTCAAGACAATTTAAAACTCAAAGATCGTGAAGAATCAAAGGAATGAATCTGACAACAAAAAAGAGCCCAGATACAGCATTTAATGAGTACTAAATATTGGAAACGTTAGAGAATATGTACTTAATGTATATGATTGCATAACGTAATATTTAAAGTCATTAATTACCTATAATAGCCTTATTATGACAAAGGTAAGGCTCGTATCCCCAAAATAGCTATACAATTGTAAGGACAACGAAACATTATTGGAATATACTTTGATTTACTTGCTTTTTAATCATATTATTCACAAATCTCTTTCTCTATATACTTTTCTGATTATCAGTAACCGGTATTCTTCTAAATTTTAGCTTTGACTAAAAATCTAATTTTTGGTTAAACAAATTGGTTCCGTTACTGGGAATCTGATAATCAATTATATCTCAACTTGATTTTCTTTGTTGTATCAACTATGTCGAACAACAATGACAACATCCAAGGAAACCAAGAAAATCAATCGAACCAACAACTTCAGGGAGATCTGCGAGACAATAATGCATTAGTTCCTTCTCCACAAGGTTCACCACGACGATCTCGTGAAGGAACTCCTGAAGGATCTCACACTGAAGAACAAGTTTAATTTGAGAATGTTGAAGCTATCGATGATGCTTTACAAAAACGTATCGCTACTCAGGTCAACAGAGCTTTACAAGCTTTTGTTAGTCAATTACCTGCTGCTCCACCCACACCTACTCCAAATAACAATACTTTGGAGAATCCTCGTTCTGGACTGGTTAATTCAGGCAGCGGTGGAACCCCCAGTGAAACACAGGAGGGAGACCCAGGTAATCCAGTTAATTCTGATTTACAAAATCTAGTACTAACATTGCAGAAACAGCTTAAGGAGCAAAATGAACGCATAGAACAAATACCCGGAGTACCGCCCGTGATCAAGGGGGTAGATATAGATAAATATTCTCAACAGTCATGGAAGCCAAGTGCCGCCCCTCTCCCAATTCTAAAGAAGTTCAAGATGCCTGATATTCCAAAGTATGATCGGACAACAGACCCACGAGATCACGTTACTGCATTTACAACAGGTGTCAAGGGCAATGATTTAACTAAGCAGGAGATTGAATCAGTCTGGGTTAAAAAATTCGGTGAAACACTCACTAAAGGGGCACTAACATGGTATTCTCTTTTACCTGAAAATTCTATAAATTCTTTTGCTGAGCTTGCAGATTTATTTATCAAAGCACACACGGGAGCTCAAAAAGTTGAAAAAAGAATGGAAGACATCTTCAAAATCAAGCAAGGAGATTCGGAGTTGCTTAGAGAATTCGTGGATAGATTTCAACGGGAAAGAATGACGTTGCCACGAGTACCTGACAATTGGGCGGCTATAGCCTTCACCAGCAATTTGAATGAGAAGAGTTCAGAAGCCACGAGGCGACTCAAGGAAAGCGTTCGAGAATTCCCAGCAACAACGTGGAATGATGTCTACAACATATACAGTACAAAGATGAGTATTGAAGAAGATATTATTTTATGACATAAAATAGAAGACAAAGTAAGCTCAAGGCGTGTAGAAAATGAAAAAAGATCTGGTAAAAACAGGTACGAGCCTTACATGGGGACTACGGGAAAGGACTCACGGTCAAGGCAAGATAATCAAAGGTACGATCACAAACCTAGAAACAGGGAATCAGGCTCCTCATCAAGGTTCGGAAACGATCGGAACACACGTGGGTCACGAGACGATGATGGAAGTATAAAAGCAAGGTTCGGTGGTTACAATTTCAACATAAATGCCTCTGAACTCGTAGCTATTTTAAGAAGCATGGGAGATAAGGTACGATGGCCAAAGGAGATGAGATCAAATCCAAACAGACGAAACCTTGATCATTGGTGTGAATTTCACAACGACCACGGGCATAAAACAACAGATTGCAGATTTTTGTAGGGTGAAGTTGATCATTTGTTAAAACAAGGGTATCTCACTGAGCTATTCGGTGAAAAAGGTAAACAAGCATATATGAAGAACAGGCAGGAGCCTCCGAAATCACCCTCGCCCAAAAGAACCGTCAATGTTATAAGTGGGGGTGAAGATATCAATGGCGTCTCATATACTGTAACTAATAAGACTTCCAAGATAACAATCACTCATGGGAAGCAGTTGCGACATGTATTGGAAGAAGAGAATATTACATTAAACGATGCAGATGCCGAGGGTCTCTTAACTCCACATATCGACGCACTAGTAATATCTTTACTTGTACATGACACTAACGTAAAACGAGTTTTGATTGATCCAGGTAGTTTTGTAAATATTATTTTGATACGAGTATTGCGCGAGATGCAAGCAGAGGATAAATTGATTCCAAAAGCGCATACTTTGTCGGGATTTGACAACTCTAGTGTTGTAACGAAAGGAGAAGCAATACTTACTACATTCACAGAAGGCGTTGTCAAAGATACCAAATTTCAAGTCGTAGATATGGAAATGGCTTACAACATGATTCTTGGGAGGCCATGGATCCATGACATGGATGCTGTTCCATCAACTTTACATCAAGTTATTGAATTTCCATCACCATGGGGAATATGTCAAATCAGAGGCGATCAACAAACATCTAGAAGCATCAATTCCGTTGCAGATTCAACTGTTAAGGGTGAAGACAAATAGCAATTACAGAATTCAGGTGGGGGTAACACGGTGTCAACCTCAACTGAACAAGGGCAAACAGATGTTGATTCAAGACCCGATACCATTCAAGAACCAGAGGAGAACGAGAACATCAAAACAACGATAGAAGAGTTAGAGGCCGTGATTTTATTTATACATTTGCCCAAGAGAAAAGTGTATATAGGAGCTAATCTTAGCCCGGAGGTAAAGCGTAAACTGATTGAATTTTTAAAAGCTAATACAGATTGTTTTGCTTGGTCCCATTCTGACATGACAGAGATACCACCGGAGTTCATGACTCATAAATTGAATGAAGATCCATCCTACCCTCCAGTCAAGCAAAAGAAAAGAAAGCAAGGAACTTTCAAGAATCAGGTGATTCAAGAAGAAGTTCAAAAATTGCTAAAAATTGGTTCAATTCGTGAGGTAAAATATCCTAACTGGTTAGCTAACACTGTTGTGGTTCCTAAGAAGAACGGTAAGTGGCGAGTCTGTGTAGATTACACAGACCTTAATAAAGCCTGTCCAAAAGATTCTTTTCCTTTACCGCACATAGATCAACTAATTGATGCTACTGCAACGGTCATGAAACTATTCAAGTTTGTTTTTAGATGCATATTAAGGTATAATCAGATTAAAATGGATTCCAGGAGATGAAGAAAAACTTCCTTCATAACAGACCGGGGGACTTATTGTTTATAAATAATGCCCTTTGTCTAAAGAATGCAGGAGCAACGTATCAAAGGTTAGTTACCAAATGTTCAAGACATTTTGGGAAAAACTATGGAGGTATATATAGATAATATGCTTGTTAAAACTCAGCATTCAGGAGATCATATATCGCATACTATCTGAAACTTTAAAATTTTTGTGAAATATAACATGAAGTTAAATCCTGAAAAATGTTGCATTTGGTGTGCACAAGGTAAATTTTTAGGTTTTTCTTTTTCTAACTGTGGTATTGACGGTGAATTCCTGCACGATTTAGGCCACTGAGGCAATCCCTGAAATTACTTACAAAGCAAGAAAAGAAGTTCAAAGATTAACAGGAAGGATGTGCAGCCTTGGAAGATTCATTTCTAAAATCAATCAGAGAAATGTTTTCAATTTCTTCTCAGCTCTTAAGATGCGGATCGTTTTTGATGGAACGAAGAGGTGTCAGCAAGCACTTCAAAAAATTTTTGAAAGTGTATTATTAAATCCACCATTACTTAGGCAAAACCAAAGGCTGGGGAAAGACTGCTCATTACTCTTTGCTGTTTCAAGAAGTAGTGGTAAGTTGCGGTTTGGTTACGAGAAGAAACAAGGTAAAAACAAATCCCCTATCTATTATTGTTAGCTAATATCTTTGCTGGATGCGGAAAACGCGTGTATCCTCAATTGGAAAAGCTTGCACTTGCATTAAATATGTGCATCTAGGAAGTTAAGGCCTTACTTCAGTGTCTTCCTATTACTGTAGTAACCGCCTATCCTTTACGTAATATATATTGCATAAGCATGAATTATCAAGGTAGGTTGGCTAAATGGGCAAATAGAGTTAAGTGAATACGAAATCACGTACCAACTAAAAGCTGCTATAAAATCACAAGTTGTTACTGATTATCGTGGCTGATTTTAAAGCCACGAACATGCCAATTAGAAAGCACAAAAAGAATTACACGTGCTCAATGTAGCTAATCCAGGAACTTTGGACTTTATTCGATTGAATTGTGTATCTAATGTAAAAAGGAGCAGGTCTAGGATTGTTTTGGTACCACCCTACGGGTTGAAACCATTGGTGCAGGCTTATTCAAATGTCATTCAAATAACTAACGAGGCCCAAGAATATGAGGCTGTGATTTGCAGGTTTAGACTTGGCACGAGAACTTGGCAATAAACTCAGGATTATATGCAAAGAGCGATTCGCAACTCGTGGTTAATCAAATGCTGGATACTTATACACCAGGGAAGCAAGGATGCAGCAATATTTTAAAAAGGTGCGGGAGCTAATTCAAGGCAATTTCAAACTTGGAAAGTTGCCAAATACCAAGGATGAAAATCTTGAAGCAGACGCTTTAGCTAATTCTGCATCTGCCGGCTGACATGGACAG